CAGGGGGACAGGCACTGGGGGCAAGTGGCAGGATTGGGACAGGCAGCAGGGGCAGACACCAAAGAAGGGCAGCACGGAGTATGGAGCAGCAAGGACATAAGTGGTGGAGGGTCTGGCTCCCTCCATAGTGTTGCTTTCCCCATCATAGTAATGGGAGGGACATATTTAAGATGACCTTCCAATAATTAGATTCTCTACATGGAAAATTGTAACAAATTTATCATTTTCCACATAGAGATTCTAATTACTGGGGGGTCATCTTAAATTCAAAATCATCTTGGATTCAGGTAAAACAGCTAGAAACCTTGAGTTATGTGGTTGAATATTGGAAGATTCTGATAGGAACCCTGAAGAAACAGATAATTGTCCTGGAACACTTATTTTAACAGAAAATACAAAAACAGTGCATTAAGGAAAACAATGGAGGTTTCAGAAAAACAAGCTGTTTCAACTTTTTCACATTTACAGTATAAGGATTCCTAAAGGTCAGCAAAGAAAAAAGTCCCTGAAAGTGACCCTGGTTTATATGCTACTTACACTTTCTAAACAGTGTCTCCTGCGGAAGTATCTTTTTAACTCAGAGATCCTACAGTTTCAGGTAAAAAGGAGTGTAAACTGAATAGCTTCTGCGACTTCAACTTTGTCTTGTTATCTTTACTCTGCTTTTCTTCTTTATACATTTCTGCTATTAGGTAATATCCTAATCTTGATATCAGCACAGTAAAAAGCTTGGCACTCCTCATAAAGTCAAATAGAACTGGATCCTCATTAGCAAGTCATATAGTACTAATAAGCATTGTACTTGCCTTCTCTCCCTATACAGCATTTGGGCTACTGGAGCTTTCACAAATCCATCATATTTGATCTCCCCACACTATCACTCTGTGGTAAAAGTCCCCATGGAAGACAGCCCCACACTAAGTATGGGGAGAGGAATTTCTCTGGAGCTGGGGACTTTCCTACACACACCTTGTTCCACTATCTTTCCACCTTGTTCCACTATCTTTGAGGTTTTCTGACAGCTGCAACATTTGGCTCAATGAATAACATTCAATAATTATTAAACTGCCCTGCATCACAGCACACAATGAATAATAAATACCTTTATTTTCACTGCCTAGGTTTTTGTTTACCTATATCAATTTAACTTCTCCTTTAATCATACTTCTCTTAGATTCAGTTAGGTAGAGGTAACTTCTCACGATCTGCTTTGCATCCTCCCATCAAGCAAAGTTGTTGTGGGAAGCAGATGTGACCTGTAAACTCTGTTACTCCCAAGAAAGCCCAGGCTACTCATGTAAATAAAGTTACTCATGAATCAATATTTGCTGAAATTCTGCCTTACTGGAAATTGCTCAGAAACCAACATCCTATTATGTATATATATATATTTTGTTTGATTATATTGTCTATTCATTTTTTAAATAAGGACTTAAGCAACAGCACACATGATATAGGAAAGGAAAGAGTTTATTTTTTTTAATTTACGATTTTTTTAATTTACAATCCAAAACGATGTTTTGGATAGTACAGTTTTTCCTCCCACCAAAGCTTTCAGTACTGTAACTTATCTGTAGTTGTACAACTGTAGTAATACTGCAGTAGTACTGCAATTACTATCTGTGATTAACTCAGTACAGACCATATTGAAAAACATGCTCTCAAGCTATCTTAAGAAATAAAATGCATTTTCAAAGACACATGGTCACTACTTTGCAAATTACTGATGATTTTCTTCTCTGCCCCACTTCCTCACTAAAATGTTCTCTGTCAATATGTTACAGTGGAATTAAAAAATGTGCCCCCATAGTCCAATCCAACTTCTAAGTCTAGTGGGACTGAATTGCAACAAGGACTTTGACACTATTCCCTGAGAGAGGTCCTAATAAATCACATCTTTAAAAAAGATTTTTTGTTTTAATGTTATAGTGTGTATTATTCACTCCCTGTGATGGGTCAAGGCAACAGGTTTAAAAATATAGTTTTGTTTATGAAAGGCATGCCATGGATATCTCACAGAACTATTTAACATATTCAAGTTCCTCATTTCATATATTTTACAAAAGGTTGCATTGCATTATGTTTCCTCCAATTCTTTCCTAATACATGGTATTAAGTAATGGAGAGGTTTTCCTTTCTCCTAGCAGACCATTTGTTGCTATCAATAAATAGTTTGGTTTTCAAGGCAGTCTTTAAGAAATGACACTTCTAAAACTGTGATTTTCTGGAGTTGTTTACTTTCCAGGCATCCTGATGAATATCTGGAAAAAAACAGTAGCAGGATGAATTATTTTATAATATTTGTAAAAAAAACAAAACAAAAACCTTATAAGACAATATGAACGTATCTGGGCTCCTACCTCTCCCTTCCTCCCCCTTTAAGATATACCAATACCAATACTTCCTCTGATTTTTTTTTAAAACTCCTTGTTGATTTTTCTACCTTGGTGTTATAGCATTAAATCAGATCCACAAACACTCAAATACCAACAACTTGAAAACTATCAAACTTTTGTCACAGCATGTTCATATGCTATTGCTGCGAATAACACTTGAAAATGCTTCCACTCAAAGACAAGATAGAAAATAACAAATTTTGCCTTTTTTAGTTTGCTTATTTAGTACAGTATGGCCCCCATTCCACAAGCCACACTCACAGAACTGTTCATGAACAATGAACAAACACCCCATTTGAGCATTTCCCAGCAATTTTTGTAGTCAAATGAATTGTTCCCTGTCTAGTTTGCTTTTTTTCCTGTTTGTGTAGGTCTTCCACACAAAAAACCTTTCCAAAATTAAAAAGGTGACTATAAAATCATATATGTTAGTGGATGGATACAGGAGGAGAAATTGAAACGATTCCTAGCAATACCCTTATTAAAGTGCTAACTATAGGCGTACCTCATTCAGTAAGACCCATACAGAAGAATCAGAATGGATAGATAAACGAATAGCTTGTATTTTCCCTACTGATGGACTGATGATGCCTTCTGCTACTCCATTTTCAAATGTACCTGTTTATAAAGTAAAACAGGATCAGTACTGATACATGCAAAAATGAAATGTGATTCTAGTGAACTTCACAAAGATATGTACCATGTCAAAAACAGCTATGATCTAATGTGCCATAATAATTTAAATGAAGTAATATAAAATGAGAGAATAAATTATCTAATATGATACAACCAGAAATAACTGAAAGCTAAAAATGGAAATAGTCCTGCTAGATATTAAGACTAATTTATTCACTGAAAGCAATAAATAACTGAAACAGGCTGCAACAGAAGAGTTGTCTAATCACTACAAATGAAAAAGGTAAGATAAAATCTTAGTCTGAAAAATTTACAGAAATGCTCTACATGACATGAGGTCACATTAAAAGACCCAAATTAAAGTGCTATTCTGATAAATCATGGTCATGGTTCTCCAGTCTATTACAATGGTTATACACAGATTCAACTACTAAAGTTACTTTTGCATGTAGTCAAAACTCAGCATAATAGACAAAACTTGGGCTCCAAGAACAGCATTTATTTCTTTCTGACCTGGGTACAGCTCAGAGAAAGGAAGTGGAAAGGAAAGTTGGGAGCTGAGGAAAAATAGGATAAAGAGAAAAGAGAAGAAAGAACAGAAAGCTCTGAGGTCAGAAAACAGATGACCCTTGACTAAACAAGGACCTTTGGTGTTTCTTTAGGGTTGTATGTGAATTGGACTGATTTTAGGTCATTTTCACTGAGGGGAAAATGATTACCTGAATTTCATAAGAATGCATAAGGCCCCCAGCAGTTAGGATTTAGGCTAGTTTTTTGTTTAATGTAGCTCATTTTCCCTAGAAACAAAATGTAATCATTCACACCTATGCAGATACAATATTCTAAGGAACTGTTGTACAAGAGTTTCCCTTCTTACCTACCATTTCCAGAATTGTGCTCAGAATTTTGGAATATCCAGATTACTTGGTAATATTGGAGTATTATTGTAGCTGTGATGGTCCATGAAATTTGTGAGGTGCAAAGATTTGTTGGAGGTGATACCTTTTATTGGACCAACTGTATAGTTAGACAATCTTTCGGTCAAGTCTGGGAAGGGTAACTTGTGCCCATAAGTTTGTCTAAGAACTCTCTTAGCTATATAGTCGATCCAATAAAAGACATTCCCCCCACTTCCCCCAAATCCTTGCCTCTCAGAGCTGATTTGCACAATCTTTCAGTATACTATTTATAAGATTCTAACACACTGTTACTACTATAAAACAACAATAAAATCAATAAGGCATGTTATGGTGCACAAGGGCTTTTATGGTGCACAAGGGCTTTTAATAGTGTATTTTGATATGATGATTCACCTTTGTTGCAAGATGAAACATAAGCAAATGATGCCAGGATCAATTAAGAACCCTTGCCTTCAGCTAAAACTCAAGTCAGACCTGAGTGCAAAACTTAAGTCAGAATCAATTATCCCACTGAAGAGCCTGCAAAGGTTTTACTTTTTCTTTAATTAAAAACCTTCTTTATCCCCTTTACTGGATGATGTCTGTTTTCATTCCTTGAAACAAAATATAATAATCAGTTCTCAAATATCACACACTGAAACATGCTGAAGTTCAAAAAGTTTCTGTTGAGTAGTTGTTCACGTTGGAATTTCGAGTTTCTGGTACAGCTCATGGATTCTTAAATACAAAGTTGGAGAATTTTTATCAGGCTTATAAAAACAAACTGTTTCAGCCTTTAAATAAGAATAGTTTACCTATCTTTAAATAGCCATCTTTGGTTCTTTGGTAGTTATATTTACTTCCATTGCCTGCAGACTCTTTTAATAATTCTGTTTCCTGCAACAACAACAACAACAACCAGTAAAAACTTGCATCAGGTTTTATAAAGCATGACATATCCTCAGGCACCAATAAAATGAGAACAGTTGTGTTCTGCAGTAGCAAGTAAGACACTTACATCAGCAGGTAAAGCTTCCACAGTAGAGTTATTCAATTTGTCACCAGGGTGTTCTATGTTTCCACTTTTAAAGAGGTACCTGCCAATAAGAACTGTGTCATTTTTGTATGTTTTATATACTGGAGAAAATTTGTAGGTGAATAAATCCTAAGAATCACTTCTGAAGTACAACTCTGAATACACTTCAATGAGGAAATCAGTGAGGACAGAGGCAGACATTAATATTTGTAGCCAGTTGTAGCCTTTAAAATTAAAACAAAATATCTTCTTAAAGCAACCTACCCTGAAAACCACGAAAGTAGTCATCCTGAGTTATCACTAGGCTTTCCCCCTTTCGGTGCTTAGATGCCAAGCAAAATAACTGTTGCCTGAATCACTAGCTCACTGAGATCCTGATCCCTAACAAGCCTATATCATGTAGAAGGCAGGGTAGACTTACACCTTATAGGCTAACCAAAGTAATTATATATATCCAAAACTTAGCTGAGGCCTACATCCCCCAGATTTAGGGTGACCATACATCCCAGTTTGGCTGGGACAGTACTGGATTTTGGAGGCTGGTCCCTGCCAGCTGGTGAAAATTAAAACAAGTGTCCCAGGTGCAGGGCAGGGAAGCAGAGCAGCAGGAGCTATGAAATAGGAAGCCCTAGCAGGCAGCAAAATTGCCCTAAAATAGGTTAGCTTGATTAATGGGATGGCCATTATAAAGGGGAAATAACTGTTAACACCTGCAAAGTAACGAACAATGAGTCATTAACAGGCAATTGACTACCTTAGCAGCCTGAATAGTAATACCAGAGCTGTACCAGACTGCCCAGCCCCACCTTTGCCTGCAGGAGCACCACTAACTTGGGGGGTGAAAGGGTGGAGATCAATGTCCCGGATGTCACATTGTCTCATATCATCATCACCCTACCCATATTGGCAGGCACACATGGAACACCTTCAACCAAGCTAGAACACTAACTTCCTCTCCATTCCCATAGTAATTCGAGCCTTCTTAGGCATAGGGCATGTGTAGATGAAACAGGACCCCTAAATTGAAGTCATGAGTTTTAAAAAACACCACTTCAATTTAGGGCTGATTAAATCCCTGTGTCGTGCACACACCCCGCTGACTTACCCGCTTCTTTGGCAGGGAGGGGAGGGTGAGCTGCCAGTGGGTGGAGCAGCCCCTGGGCTGTGGGGGGGTGCGGGTGCTGGTGTTTCCCTCTGTGGTAGCAGCAACCCACCCCCCAGGCGGCACCTGCCTGCCATCACCCACCTCAGGCAGTCCCGGGGGGCACTGCCCCCATGGAGAGAAGCCCAGGGCCCCCCGCGCAGCTCAGGCAGGCAGGCAGGCTCCGGGGAGGAGATCAGGCTCACCACTTTTCTTGGGGAGAGCTGCTTTCCTGGGCTCTTGTCAGCCTGCTTGCAGGGCTTCCTGCAGAGCCGTGGAGCTGCATGGAGCCCAGTGCTTTGCTCCATGGCTGTAGGAGCAGCAAACTAAAACTCCTCAAAGGAGTTTTAGTTTGCTGCGCCCCAAGTTATTTAAGGTGCATTACACCGCCAAATTTCCTACAGCGGCTGGAATTAATGCACAATACGCCGCCAACATGTGCAAACACGGACACCATTAAAGCAATGCAAAAGCATTTAGCCCTCTTTGAAGTGTCATGCACACACGCCTCTCATTTTGTCTACAGACTATGGCTGCGTGAAGCTTTGGGTGCTGATTCGATTTGGAGGGGAAGGGGACCATGGGGGGACCCCTGCCAGGCCCCATCCCTTGCCTGCTCCCCCAGCTCCCCTATGGCTGCCCCGCCCACCCCAGCTTCTGGTGCTTTAAAAAACCCTCCCCACTTACTGGGTGCTGCCTGGTGGGGTGGCAATCCCTGCTGCCCGCCACTGCCCCACGCTGCGTGGGGGCTCTGCCACGAGCCCCCTGCCCCCCTCCACTGTCCCAGTGCCCCCATGGTTGCCCCACCCACCCCAGCTTCCGGCTCTTAAAAAACCCCCCAAAAACCCAACCAACCACCCACCCCCTGGACTCACCGGTGCCTGCAGCGGCTTTGGGGGGCTCATGGAAGAGCCCCCCATGTGGTGCAGGGCAGTGGGGATTGCCCTGCACCAGCAGGAACTGGTGACTGCAGGGGGGTTTTTTTCTTAAAGAGCCAGAGCTGGGGTGGGCAGGGCAGCCATGCAGGGGCTGGGACAGCAGGGGGGGACTTGTGGAAGAGCCCCCCATGCAGCATGGGGCAGTGGGGGGCAGCGGGAATCACCCCCTGCCCAGCAGCACCCAGTGAGTGGGGCTTTTTTTTTCAAAGCGCCGGGAGCTGGGGTGGGCAGGGAGCCATTGCTGGGCAGGGAGAGTGGGTGGGCATGGGCCTGTGAGA